GGTATGTTTTGTTGAGGATATATACATCTGTTCTCATGAGTAAAATTAATTTCTAATTTTTCTTTTCAATTTTTTCTTTGATGGATTTTCTTATAAGGTTATGTTGACTTCATAAAATAAATTGTAGACTGTCACTTTCTTTTTGTATTGTCTAGAAAAGTTTGTTAAACTTGGAACTATTTCTCTCCTAAAATGTGAAACTGTTTGGGAAGTGATGTCAACAAGATGATAGAGTAGAACACTCCTTTCCCCAACAAACACACTGATTCAACCATTCATGGACAAATTCCTCTTTTGAGAAACTCAGCATCTGATGAAAAGGCTCCTGTGTTCTGGGAAAATGCAAAACCAGACTTGACAAAGCTAATAGGAATAATCAGGAAACCCTTTCTACCAGAATCCCTACCCCTGGCACAGTGCCATATGATCAGGAAGATATGTTCTAACTCCTAGCATCAGCAATGGGAGGGAAAAAGTTGGTCCATGCATGTAGAAGCCCAAATTTTCCCACAGTGTTCACAGGAGGAATGACTTCTTTCTTGTCAGCATTAGAGTTCTCAGTGGATGAACACAGCCTAGCTGCTAGGAGGAGAAAGGAGATGACAACTTTGACTGGTAGACAGTATAGCTCTTCTGCTTCTGCCCTTTTTAACCCAAAATGAACAAATAAAAATCCTAGTTCTGGGCTGGGGTTGTGGCTTAGTGGTAGAGCACTTGCCTAGCATATGTGAGGCACTGGGTTTCAGTCTCAGCACCACATATAAATAAATAAATGTATTGAAAAAAAAATCCTAGTTCTCAGCTTCTGCTTGGAAGGAAGGAGCCTATCTTTGTGTCTCTGGGGCTACCCATAGTACTGGCATCTGTCTCTTTAGTCTTAAGTGTTTTGAAGGGTCCATCATAATCTATTCAGCCAGGAGAGTACTGAGATGGTGGCTTGGGCTTGTAGATACCAAGTTCGTCCCCCTGCCTCAGCATGGAGTGAGCATACAAACTCCCAGTTGCCTCCTTCTCCCTAAGAAAGAAAAGTGTTGGTGCAGTCATTCAACACCATGACTTTTCACTTGTCTATCTCAGAGTACTGATGGGGTCTGGCATAATCTAGCCAAGTAGGGACGAATGCAAAAAGAGATTGAGATTTTGGTTTGTAGTCATGATATGCCTACCCCCACTTGGTTCAGCATAAAGCAAATAGACAAAATAACCTTAGTTCCTCACTTCTTCCTGGGGAGGGAAAGGGTTAGTCAGAGTATACAGCAATCCATCATTCCTGTGGAGGTCATCAGAAGAATTGGATTCAGTTTTACTTGAACTAGTGCACTGATGTGACCGAGCATAGATTATTAGTTACAGGACTATTCAGATATTTCTAGTTCTTGTTTATTCAGCTTAGTAAATTATATTTTCTAGGATTGTATTTATGTTGTCTAAATTTTCAACTTCATTGGCATAAAGTTGTTCAGATACCCTCTTAATATCTTTAATTTCCCTTCTCTCTTTTTTATTCCTTGCTTGTCTTACCAGAGATTTTTCCAGTTTGTTTTTTTGTAAGAACAAGGTTTTGGCTTTGTGGGTCCTTTCTATGTATGTTTGCTTTATATTTCAGCAACTTGTTAGTATCATTATTGTTTTCTTTTGTATACATTCTTTAGATTTAATTGCAGTTCTTTTTATAATTTCTCAAGATAATTTTTAGCTTTTAAATTTACAACCTTAAAATATATTTATCATGTAACATTTAATACATTTTCTTAAAATTGTTGCTTTAGCTATAGCCACAATATTTTAAGTAATTTTTCATTTATATATAGCATCTACAGAGTAAAACAGTACACATATTGTCGGTATAAAGCCTGTTGAATTATCAGAAAGTGAACAAACCTATATAACCACTGTCAAGAAAAGAATTACTATGTTACCAGCCTCCCTGGATATCTGTCATGCCTAGTCCACAAATTTTAATATATTGTGTAATGGATAATTTTATGTGTCAACTTGACTGGATTAACAATGCTCAGATAGCTGGTAAAAACATTATTTCTGCATGTGTCTGTGAGGGTGTTTCTAGTAGAGATTAGCTTTTAAATCAGACTATGTAAAGAAGATTCACCCTTATCAATGTGATGGACATCACCCAATTCATTCAAGGTTCAGGGAACAAAAAGATGAAAGAAGGAGGAATTTGCTTTCTCCATCTTTTCCACCCCTCAGACATAGGAACTCAGTTCTCAGGCCTGTGGACTCCAACTTAATTATACCACTGGCTTTCCTGGTACTCTAGCTTGCACATAGCATATTGTGGGATTTCTCAACCTCCATAATCATGTGAGCCAGTTCCAAGAATAAATCTCTTACACACATGCATACATAGTATATCTCCTATTCATTCTACAGTATTTTATTATACAATTAAAATTATATTATACAATTCAAAATATTTTCCAATTTCCTTTATAATTTTCTTTGACCTGTTAATTATGTAAAAATCTTATTTCTGAATTTTGAAACATGCAAGGATTTTCTTGGCATCAATTTAGTAATTGCTTTTAGTAATTGATTTCTAGCTTAATTGCATTATAATTGATTTCAGATTTTGAAATAGGTTGAGATATGCTTTGTAGAAAGATATATGGTCAATTTTCATAAATAATCTGCATATGTTTAAAAGAAATGTATTTTCTGCAGTTTTGGGGGGATGTGTGTACATATATGTAAATTCACATACATATAAATTTACATTCAGTTTGTTGTTAATTTTTTTAAAATGTTTATTTTTTAGTTGTAGTTGGACACAATACCTTTATTTTATTTTAATTATTTTTATGTGGTGCTGAGGATAGCACTCTACCTCTGAGCCACAACCCCAGCCTCATGTTTATTTTATTTTAATATTCTGTACTCAAACCTATATTTTGCATACTTTGTTAAGCACTGAGATGAGGTATTAAAATGTCCTATAAAGATTGTAAGTTTGCCTATTTCATCATCTAATTTGATAGTTTTTGCTTTATGTATTAGAGGCTCTATGTGTGTACAAAATTAGAATTGTAATATATTTCTATTTGTTGAAGTTTTATTAGCATAAAATGGGCTTTTTATAGCTTGTATTTTTGCCTTAAAGTCATTTTTATCTGACATTAATATGTCCACATTAAAGCTAAATATGTAGCTCAGTGTTAGAGTGCTTGCCTAGTATGCACGAATCCAGCACTGCAAAAATATGTGTGTGCGTGTGCGTGCTTTCTTTGGTTAATATTTTCTCAGTATATCTACTTTAATCCTTTTACTTTGAACCCGTTTGGATTTTTTCTGTACCATTATATATTAGACATGCTATTTATAAACAGAAAATAGTTAGATATTTTTAATATCCAATAGTTAGATTTTTTAATCCATTTTGAGAGTTTTTGTTTTTCCACTGGACATTTAATTTTTAAAAATTTAATATATTGATATAATTGAGTTTATGTCCACATCTTAATTTAATACTTTTTTGAAAAATATTTTTTAGTTGTAGATGGACACAATACCTTTATACCTTTATTTTGCTTATTTGATTTGTTTATTTGGTGCTGGGGATTTAATCCAGTGCCTCACACTTGCTAGGCAAGCACTCTAGCATTGAACCACAACCCCAGCCCTTAATTTAATTCTTCTATTTGTCATTTCTGTCTCTTTTTCTCTCCTTTCTTGCTATTGATTTTTTACAATTGATGTTTACTTTTAGAGTTGTTTTTGGTTTACAGAAAACTTGAGTGAGAAGTACAGAGAGTCCTTTCGACACATTTGACATACTTGTTATCATGCAGAATAGTTTCAATCCCTTGTACTTCACTTATTCATTCATTTTTCCCTCCTACTGACCTCCTGAAAACAACTGATTTTTTTTTAACTATCCATGTAGTTTTGCCTTTTCCAGAGTATTACATAATTGGAATCATGTAGTATGAAGCCTTTTGAGATTGGTTTCTTTCTCTTGACAGTATTTAATGTATATTCATTTAAGATTCCTATTGTCTTTTCATGTTATAATAGCTCATTTCTTCTTTTTAAAATATTTTTGTAAAATATGGGAAGCATTTATAAATACCCTTAATTAATTAATTAATTAATTTTATTTAAAAAAAATTTAGTTGTCAATGGATCTTTTGTTTTATTTATTTATATGTGGTGCTGAGGATTGAACCCAGGGTTTCACACATGCCAGGCAAGTGCTCTGCCACTGAGCCACAACCCCAGCCCAGCTCATTTCATTGTAGTGCTCAATAATATTGAATTGGTTGGGGGTATAGATCAGAGGTAAAGTGCTTGCACAGCATGCACAAAGCCATAGGTTTGGGACCAGCCTAAATATGCACCTTTAGATGTTTTAACCCTCTGTGTAATGTAGTTTGGGGCTATCAATAAATGAATATACTTATGTTACACCTCAGAGATTATTTCCCCCTATGTTCTGTTTACCTCCACCAAGGTAAACTTCTTTGCAGTCCCCCCTAGGGGTGGATATGATTGAGAACAAGTTTACTTCTGATTTAGCCTAGTCTAAGAGTGTGATTCCATGAGCCTTGATGTCTACTTCCTATCTTAATGAGATCCATCAAAGCTACAGAACATTTGTCCAGATTTGCAAATGCCTACCAGATAAAAGTGGCTTCACTTCTCTGTTTACTTCTGAGGGACCTCACTTTTCCTTAGTTTTTCTTTGCTCGGTAATTCCTTTACTATCTTGTCAGTTTTTTGTATATTTCTGAAAAATAATTTTAAATATGTTATCCAACATTTTTGGTTGTTTTTAAAAGGAGGGTTGGTCTGACATGGCTAACTCACTCTATTTCCAGAAGCAGAATTCATTGTTTCTTTAGCATTTTTAAGAGAGCAGTTCCTATCTTTTCATTATAAGTATCCCTTAGCCATTTTAAATGTTTTAATGATACTTGTAAAATATGGTAAGGACTTCCTTATTGGTTTTATAAAATAGATCCAATGTTTCTTTATTTCAGGCCAAAGAGGCAGTGATGAAAGCTGAAAGACAGGATCCTACAAATGTTTTCACTCAATTTTATATGTTCAAGATTGCAGTCTTGGAAAGCAACTCTGACAGAGGTATAAATATTATTTATGAGTTATATTTGATAATGCAAAGAATTGAAAATCCTCAAAGAATAAATAATCTATAACAGAAAGCCACATTATTTTTGAAATAATGGAATTAAATATATGTTCTGTCTTTCCTATGAAAAATAATACAATAATACAAAAAGAAACCATGGAAGGTCATGCAGAAGTTAAAGAACACTGAATACCTATGGAGGGAATCTGAAGTGGGCAGATGTGGGACAAGAATTGGGGAAAAGTCTTGTCACTGTATGTTTTTTGTGTTTTCTGTCATTTGAACCAACCTATTCCAAAAGCTTTAAAAGCTGTGGGGGAAGAAAATTATAGTAAAAACATGTATCAGCCAAGAATTGTCCTCAGAGAAGGAAGGTTTTCAGGGCACATTTTGATTCTTTTCACTTATGTTTTGATTAGTGCATTATAATTATACATAATATTGGGGTTCATTTTGACATAATCATACATACATGGAATATAATTTGTTCCACTTCAGTCTCCAATACTTCCCCTTTCTCCTCCCTCCCCCATTCTCCATCCCCAACTTTACTGATCTTCCTTCTATTTATAGTTTTTTATTAGTGCATTATAGATGTACATGAAGGTAAAATTCACTGTTGTATATTTATATTTGTACACAATATAGTTTGGTCAGTTTCACACCACCATTCTGTCCTTTTCCTGTCCCTTCTCCCTCCCTCTCAATTCCGTTCCCCTCCTCCATTGATCTCTCTTCTATTTATGGGACACCCCCACCCCCCCCCCCGTTTTCCATCTAGAAGCAAGATAATTTTTGATATGTAAGGATTTAATACTACCATTTCTTTAATTCCTTTTTGGTTTTTTTCCCTCTCTTCCTAGCTTCCCTTGGGATTAGGTTATATTCCGTGGCAGTATTCTCTCATTACTTTTTATTCTTTGTTTATTAATTATAGAGTTTGTCTTTGTGGCTGTCATGAGGCTTATTTTAAGCTGATAATGAGTTGCATTAAATGATTGTGTTTTTAAAAATTGATATACTTTTTCTACCTGTTCTGGTGTTTTGTTTTTTGTTTGTTTGTTTGTTTGTTTGTTTTTTTATGGTACTAGGGATTGAACCCAGGGTATTGTGCATGCAAGACAAGCACTCTATCAACTGAGCTATATCCCCAGCCTCCTTCTACCTGTTCTGCTCACACATTTTTTTGTTTTGAACATCATAACTTTTATCTTTTTATACTGTGTATCCTCTAAAATATTTATCTATTATTACTTAAATGAATTTCTTTTTAACCTTCATATTAAAGGTACAAGTGAGTTGCATACCTAAGAGTATTCTTTTTTTTAAATATTTATTTTTTAGTTGTAGTTGGACACATTACCCTTATTTTATTTATTTTTATGTGGTGCTGAGGATCGAACCCAGGGCCTTGCACATGCTAGGCGAGTACTCTACCCCTGAGCTACAACCCCAGCCCCACCCTAAGAGTATTCTGAGTTTGATTTCCTACTTACTTTTGCTAGTAAGTTTTTTCCTTTGATATGATTTTGTGTTACTAATCAGTACTTTTTTCCTTCAGCTTAAAAAATTCCCTTCAGCATTTCTAGTAAGACAGGTCTGGTGTTGATGAACTCCTTTAGCTTTTGTTTGTCTGGGCAAGTTTTTATCTTCCCTTCATTTCTCAAGGGGAACTGTGTTAGAAAAAGTATTCCTGTTTGGTAGCCTTTTTTTTTTTAATCTGTACTTACTTTTCTTATTTTTTATTTTGTTGTATATGGACATAAACCTTTATTTTATTTATTTATTTTTTTATGTGGTGCTGAGGATCGAACCAATGCCTCACATGTGCTAGGCAAGTGCTCTACCAGTGAGCTACAACCCCAGCCCTACATCTGTACTTTTGATCTCACTCTTTCCTTGCCTGTAAGGTTTCTTCTGAGAAGATACCGATAGCCTTAATGGCACTCCCTTATATATTATGTGCTTCTTTTCTGTTGCTGCTTTCAGGATCCTCTCTGAAATTTGATTTTTGACTGTTTATGTCTTGTTGTAGTCTTAACACATTTCGCCACATAACTATCACTTAATCATCACACCCTGTATAACTTTTCATTGTGTAATCATCATATGATATAATTCTGTTTGTCAGGCCACATAAATGGTAAACAGAGCAGCAATGTACTCACCATTGGCATAGGGATAAGAATTTGTGTTCTCGTGCACTATAAGTTATAAGTCTAGTATTCTCAGAGCACATGCATTGTCAGTATATTTCCATAAGCCAAGTTGCATGGTTTGTTTAGAGCACTGCGTAACTAATGGTTAACACATCTTATATGAGTGGTGCTGAGGACGGAGTGTCAGATGATGAAGCCAATGACAGGGCACAGAATCTTCAGACACAGTAGATTAAATTTTGTAAGTCTGTATTTCTCAACACTATAATAAATTTACTCAAGTGTAATATTTTGACTATAGTGTACAAATCGATAACAACTAATGTGTTAACTTTTTTTCAGACCATAAAATAATGTTCACTAAACTGTCATAAAGAAATGTACATCAATTTCGACTATTCAGTTTTGACATATATTTCATGGAGTACGTATCCTAATCTTGCACCAAAGGCAATTTAATAATAGATGATTTTTAAGTAACACTGACATATTTTTAAAAAGATTCACATGATGGTCACACTTTACTTTTTCATGAAATTAAAACATTTAATGGTGCATTATAATTATATACAATAGTGGGATTCTTTGTTACATATTTGTACATGCACATAATATAACAATATAATTTGGTCAATTTGCAGAACAAAAATTTTTAAAAGCTCTAATATCTCTCATTTAAAGAACCAACAAGAAATTTGAAAATCTATCACCAAACATAAAAATAAAAAGTGTTGACTTTTCTTTTCTTTCCCTTACATACCCACAATTTCAGTTACATTTTATGTCATCTCCCGCTACCCCCTGTTCTCTATTGTTTCTGGGTATGAGGGCAGAAAATAACAAAGATAAACACCATAAAGGGAATGAGGGGATCTGAAATGAAGAAAATTTTATGCTCTAAATTTTAACTTAAGTTCTTAGTGCCTCACATGCTACTAAGCCTAGTTTTTTGTTTGTTGGTTTGTTTTTGTACAGAGATTGAACCCAGGGATGCCTAACCACTGAGCTACATCCTAAGCTCTTTTTTTTATATTTTATTTAGAGTCTCACTGAATTACCTAGGGCTTCGCTAAATTGCTAAGGCTGGCTTTGAACTCGTAATCCTCCTGCTTCAGCCTCCAAGCCACTGCCTCCAGCCCTGTTTTTTTTTTTTTAATTTTTAAAAATACTTTTTGTTTTATTTATTTTTATGTGGTGCTGAGGATTGAACCCAGTGCTAGGCTAGCACTCTACCATTGAGTCACAACCCCAGCCCCTTGCTCCAGTCCTTTTTATTTTTTATATTTTGAGACAGGGTCTCACTAAGTTCTTTAGAGCCTCACTAAGTTGCTGAAGCTGGCCTCTAAGCTGAAATTCTTCTGCCTAATCCTCCCAAGTTGCTGGGATTACAGTTGTGTATACCTACTCCTGGCTAGATCTCTTACCTTTTCTACTTGGATATTTATATAATTACCAAGATTTATTGAGTTTTCTGGGACTCTTTCTTTAAATAAGTTTTCTAACTCTTTTATCACTTTAACATCTACTGCTATATGTGAATACTTGTTCTTTTGATGATGTCCCGTAAGTCCCACAAGCTTTTTTTATTCCTTTCCATTCCTTTTTCTTTCTCCTCTGACTACCTGTTATTAAATAACCTGTCTTTTAAGTTTATATAATCTTTCTTCTACTTGACCATTTTATGCTCTTTATTGCATTTTTCAGCTCTCAGTTTTTTTTAACACCAGTGACACTCTTCACAGAACTAGAAAAAAACAATTCTAGCCAGGTAGAGTGGCACATGCCTGTAATCCCAGTAGCTTTGGAGGCTGAGATAGGAGGATTGCAAGTTCAAAGCAAGCCTCAGCAATTTAGTAGGGCCCTAAACAACTTAGCAAGACCCGGTCTCAAAATATTTTTTTTTTTAAAGGGCTGGGATGTAGCTCAGTGTAAAATGCCCCAGGTTCAATCCCCAGAACCAAAAGAAAAAAAAAAACAGTTCTAAAATTCATGTGGAAGAATAAGAGACTCAGAATATTTCTTATTTGCATCCTCCATTTTTCCCAATTTTGATTTTTTATTTCTCTATTATCTTGAAGTTTGCTAAACTTCCTTTAAAACCATTATTTTGAATTATTTGTTAGGCAGTCAACAAATATCCATCTTTTTGAAATGTGGTCTTATTATTTTACCAAGACTGGTCTCCAACTCTTGGGTTTGAGTGATCCTCCTACTTTAGCCTCCTGAATTCTGGGACTACAGGTATGTGCCACCATGCATAGTACAAATCTCCATTTCTTAGGGCCCTTTTCTGGTTATTTATTTTATTTTCTGGGTGACATAATGTTTCTATGATTGTTCTTGATATTTGTGACTTGCATTGTTATCTGCACATTTGAAGAAGTAGGGAATTATTATAGTATTTGCAGATTTACTTGTCTAGAAATGTCTTTCACCAGTCAGCCCATCCAGAGTTTGGGTCTTTGGAATCTGCACTAGGCATAGGTGCATGGGTACTAGACTGAAGACTGGGTCCCTGAGGGTCAGATAGGGTCCAGGAGCTGAAAAGGTTGTTCTGTAATCTAACTATACAAGGACATTCCTGGAAATTTGGTCCCTGGGGTCTAGCCCAACTCTGAAATCTACTGGAATGGCCTTAGATTCTGAGTCTGCTAAAATATGGGGATGCAGGGGCCAACTTGAAAAGTAATATTACAAGTTCTGGTTTGGAGGGTTGGGCCACAGGACCAGCCTGGCACTTGGAAGGCCTGGAGCCTGATTCTTTAGACCAGGAGTACAAATCTAATGATAGGGCTGGCCTTATACTGTGTGGGCCTAGAACCCTATATCCATGGGGGCCAGCCTAGAGTCTGGGTATCTGGGTACTGGGGCTGTGGGGCTATTCTACTGCTGGGCAGACCTGAAGCCTGGGGCAGTGGGGGCCAGCCTGGGGGTAATCCAAGTCCCAGGACCACAGGGGCCAGCCTGGTCCTAGGAGGGGACCTAGAAACTGAATCTATAGGACTGGCCTAAAGTCTGAGTTTGTGAGGACTGTGGTGGTACCAGGGCAGGCCCAAAGCCTGGGACCAAAAAGACTGGCCTCACACTGAGTCTATTCTAGACATCTAGGGGCTCCTGCCTATGGAACAGTCCTAAAGACCAAGTCCTTCGGGCAGATCTGGAACCTAGGAATATGGAATACAGCTTGGAATCTGGAGGTATGGGGCTCTCTCTGGTGCTAAGTATTACTGGTGCCCCAGTGTTGGAGTTTGCACTCTCTTCTTTCTCTTTCCCTCAAGCAGAGGGTTTCTCTCTCTGTTGTTTGGCCTGGGGTTGGAGGAGGGGTGATAAGGGTAATTAAAAACTATCCTTTTATTCTCCTCAGTGCACCTTATTTTTATGCTTCACCCAGGTGGACTAATCTCTTATTTGGTTTCCTTAGCTCTTGTGAAGGTATATTCATACATACATAGTTGTTCAAATTCATGTATTTTGTGAGCAGTAAGTACTAACAATTCCTATGCCACCATCTCGCTGATATCTGGTGTACACAAGTTCATTATCAGTTGTGTATTTTACAATTTTTTTCTTTTTTTCTTTCTGCATATTTTCTTTTATGAGAAGAAATTGGCAAGTTTGACAATGTCTAATTTATCTTTTTTCTTCTTCTATAGATTGTCCTTTTGATGCTGTAGCTAAGAAATCTTTGCTTAATCCAAGGTCACAAAAATATTTTCTACAACATTTTGTTTTAGGGTTTTTATTTTTAGGGCTGTGATCCATTTTGAGTTAATATTTGTATTTGATTCCAGGTGTGGATTGAAGTTCATTTGTTTACACTTAGTTATTGAATTGTTCCAGCATAATTTTTTAAAGAAGCAATGTTTCCTTAATTGAATTGCCATTGTATGGATCTCTTTCTGAATTCTTTCTTTTGTTGTATAAAATAAAGACATCATTTATTATATGTCTTTACATCATTTCTACTCTGTCTTAGTTATTGTAGCTACGTAATAAATATAGAATTATGGAGTGTTAGTCCTCCAACTTTGTTCTCTCTCAAATTGTTTTGACTGTTTCAAATCTTTTGTATATCCATATGAGTTTTCCAATTTTTACACAAGTGAATTTTTTGGTACTGGGGATAGAACCCAGGGGTGCTTAATCACTGAGCAACATCCCCAGCCCTTTTTATTTTTTATTTTGTGACAAGGTCTCACTAAGTTGCTTAGGACTTCACTAAGTTGCTGAGGCTGGCCTCAAACTTATGATCTTCTTGCCTCAGCCTCCCTAGTCACTGGATTATAGGTCTGTACCACCTCACCTGGCACAAGTGAATTTTTATTGTGATTGTGTTGAATTATAGATCAGACTTATTATTATTATTATTATTATTATTATTATTATTATTACAATGCTGAGAATCAAACCCAGGGTTTCATGAGTGCTAGCCAAATGCTCTACCACTAAGCCATACTTCCAGCTCAACATCTTAACATTATTGAGTCTTTCAACTCATGAACAAGTATTTGATTCCAGGTATGGATTGAAATTCATTTGTTTGCACTTAGTTATTGAATTATTTAAACAATTGCCTCCATTTATTTAGGTCTTTCTTAATTTCTTGAAATAATTTTTTCTGCTTTTAAGTGTATAATCTTGGGCATCTTTTTATCAGATTTATACCTAAGTATACCATGTTTTATACTATTTTAAATGACTTTTTTAAAAACTTCAATTTTTGACTACTTACTGTTAATATATAGACATGCAAATGTTTTTTGTATTGACCTTGTATCTTACAACTTTTTTAAAAAAATATTTTTTTAGTTGTAGATGGGCACAATATCTTTACTTATTTTTATGTGGTACTGAGGATCAAACCCAGTGCCTCACACATACCAGGCAAGTGCTCTACCACTGAGCCACAACCCTAGCCTCATATCTTACAAATTTTATAAACTCATTAGTTAGTTCCAATAGCTTTCTTGTGAATTCCATTAGATTTTTTACATAAACAATCATGTTTTCTGTGAATAATGATAATAAATCATCTTCTAATTACCATTTTAATGACAATCTGCAAGTTTTATGTGTTTTTATTTTAATTCAGGTAAAATATTTTCCATATTAACTTTTGATTCCTTTTTAAATCACATGGGATTATTTAGAAATATTTATTTTCCAAATATTTTTCAGATTTTCTTGAGAGTGTTATTGATTTTCAATTTAATTCCATTATAGTAAAAGATCAAACCTTATATGACTTAAATTCTTTGAAATATATTGTGACTTGTTCTGTGGCCCAGCATATTGGCTTTCCTGGCAAATTGGAAAAAATTGGCACTGGAAAAAATTGGCACTGGTTGGTGTTTGGCTAAGTATTATAAAAATGTCAGTCAGGTCAACTTGATTGCTGATTTTCTGTTTACTTGTTCTACCAATTATTGAGAGAAGGTATTGAAATCTTTGATTATAAATGTGGATTTGTTAATTTCTCCTTGCAGTTCCATAGATTTTGCTTCTTATATTATGATATTTTGTTATTTGGTACATAAATATTTAACTTTAGGTGCTCATCATGAATTGATTCCTTTATTATCTTGAAATAACTTTCTTTCACTGGTTATTTCTTTCTTGGATATCTACTGTTTCTGATATTAGATACTCCGACTTTCTTTTGATTGTCTTTACTATAGCATGAATTATCCCATCTTGTTTGTTTTCTTATTGGTACTGGGGATTGAACCCAGTATAATTACAACTTTATTTTTAGACAGGGTCTTGCTAAAATTAATGAGGCTGACCTCAAACTTGTGATCCTCCTTCCCCAGCTGCCCAAGTCACTGGGATTACAAGTGTGCACCACTGCACTGCTGCCTGTGCTTTCCTTTCAGCAAATTTTGTCTTTATGTTTCTTGTAGGTAGCATATATTTAAGAGTTTTATTTTAATCTGATTTGACCATCTCCATCTTTCAATTAGGTTACAAAATCATTTATATGTAACAAACACGATTGTCAATATGATTAGATTAAAATTTAGCATCCAATTCTCTCCTATTTGTTTTATCTGTTGTTATTTGACATTTTCCTTTTTTCTGACTTCTTTTGGATTAGTGAAATTTTTATGAATATTTATTTATTTAACAGTAGAATTCATTTTGACATATTGTACACAAATGGAACACAACTTCTCATTCCTCTGGCTGTACAGTAATTACATTTATCTCCTTTTTGGCCTATTAGCTATTATACTTGGTTGTGTTTTTTTGGTACTAGGGATTGAACCCAGGGGCACTATATCACTAAGAAACATCCCCAAGCCATTTTAATTTTTTATTTTGAGACAGGGTCTCACTAAGTGGCCCAGGGCATCACTAAATTGCCGAGGCTGGCCTCAAACTTGTGATCCTCCTGTCTCGGCCTTCCAAGTCACTGGATTACTGATGTGCACCACCATTCCTGGTTCTTTGTTTTTCCACTTGTTACTTAAGGTCTATAGTGCACATATTTAACTTGCATTGGTTTACCTTTAAGACATAATAAAATATAATACATCCATTCAAATTTTAACTTTTTTCTGTATATTTCATTTTATGTATATACTGAAATGTATTTAGGCTCTCCATTATTAATGAAATTTAGGTCCATATTTTACTCTAGTTTTTTTGAATAGTGGTTATTGAACCCAGAGAAACAATGCACCACTATACCCTAGCCCCATATTTTACTCTTACAAGCAATACTTGATGAGAATCCTTGGATGTGTGTTTTTTTTAATATTTATTTTGTAGTTTTAGGTGGACACAATATCTTTATTTCTACACTTTTGTGGTGCTGAGGATCAAACCCAGTGCCTTGTGCATGCTAGGCGAGTGCTCTACCACTGAGCCACAACCCCAACCCCTGGATATTTACTCTTGCAAATACATTTATAAGATAAATTCACAGAAGTACAATTGTTCAGTTGAGCATTTTTTATGATATTCAAATCTTCCTTGACATTTAACCAACTCATATGATTTTGTGAATCTTAATTAATATTCTAAAGATATTAATGCTCTAAAATAAGTTCCAAATTTGTTGTGATACAATTAACTCTACATGAGTATTAACTTTGATAAGAATATCTCAATTTTATTGTTTCCTTGTTTTTCAGCTCTTCAGGCAATCACTACTTTAGAGAGTTTATTAACAGCTGAAAAGCCAGAAGATAATGATCTACTTGAAGATAGAGGTTCACATACTATGCTCCTAAATTTAGCTGCCCAGTTTGCTCTAGAGGTAATTCATATGTTTCTGTCTCCTAGACTTCTACCTCTTTCCCTTTTTGAAAGACATTTAATAGAATTCATCAGTTAGTTACAGAGTCTCTACTGTTTGTTTTGCCTCACATTTTCTAAACCAAGCTTGGAATTGCTTTATTTCTCTTTTTTTGTAATGCAGGCTAAGTTAAACAAAACATAATGAAATAATAGATTTCTGCTTAAATAACAGAAAAAAAGTAAGCATAGCAAAACACTAATTTCTAGAAGAAATCCAGATTTAAAATGCTATATTAATGCAAGTAAATAGGTATCTTAATTGGAAATATCTTTTTTAATCAGATTGAACAAAATGCTTTAAATTTTTGTGAATGCTTTTAGTTTATAACCATAAAAATTACTCTAGATATGATAAATACTTGCAACCCTGTTTTTTACTTGCATAATTCTTTAGGAAAAGAATCCTAGCAGCTCTGGTACTCTTAGATTGAGTTTGAGTATTGGCTCTGTGGCTTAATAAGTGCCTAACTTCTTTGAGTTTTCATTTGTCATTTGCACAATAAAAATAATACCCTTCTCTAGGACTGTTATGAAAACTGATAAGTTGGCTGAAAATTGGTATGTAAACTGTGAAGCTTGATCTTCTTATTTATTTAAACTACTTTAGTTTCTGATTCTTTCTTTATGAAAACTATCTTTCTGCTCAGAGCTACTATTCCATAATTCTTCTACTAGCTCTGTTCTGCTTTTTATATCTACTGTAAATGTATAAACCTTCCTTTAAAAATGTAGTTGCCTTTGGGTTTCACACTACAGAATTTCTCTCATTTCCTCCTTTTCCCCAGCCTGAACAAACACATCCTATGTCTGCATCTGCCAATTTTTTTTCTTTCTTCAGGAGTTCAGTTACCCTACTCATTAATATCAAAACACATCTCATCCAAACCCTATTTAACAACTACTTTGGACAAGATATTGGTCTATGTGCTAGAATTATGGTCACCAAGGAACTCTCAAGTCAATTTGTACAAGCTATCCATCAGCAATGTAAGATCAATGTAAGAACTATCCATATGTAGGATAAAGACCAACTAACTACTATACAGGTTAAAAATTACTGGAGTTCAGAGTAGAAATAGAGCACTGAAAACTGGAATGTCTCTACAGTGGAGGGAAACCTTAGGTTAGACTTTGAAAAGGATAGCATTTAGGTTTACAACATTTTTCTTTTGCAGTGCTGAGATCAAACCTAAGTCCTCATGCATACTAAGCAAGTGCTTTACCACTGAGCCATACCTTCAGCCTCATGTAAGAAAAAGGTTTTTTAAGGGTGTAATGGTGTAAACAAGACATGGAAAAAGGAATGTGATTGACTTTAGATACACTATACTTGGTTAGAATAATAGCTGATTTCTCTAGCATTCCAGATCTTGTGCCTAATAGAATAGTGGCTTATATCATTATGATAATGATATAGAGAAGCATAGAGTAAAGGACAAGAAATAGCTTTGGGCAGATTGTATAATGCTTTTATTTTCTAAACAATAAGATGGTTGATGGTAATTTATGTAAAGGTAGTGCTTTGAGAAAATAATTTTGCTTATGCCTAGGCAACTGAGTAGAGAGAAATTAGAGATGGGCAGGATAGGAGACCATGGTAATAATCCAGTCTTAAGGTGATAAGAATCTAGGTAAGGGTAATAGAAGTATGATTTTAAGCAGGTAAAACATTACTTTCTCTTCTATCAATCATTCTCTTTACAAAATTCACCTCTCCTCACACAAGAGATGATGTGGGTATTCTAGGTTCTGAAAACTCAGGCAGCCAAGAAGAGAACTTGCACAGATTCCTACCACCATCTCTGCTCACACACCAGATATTCTGCCCTCTCCACTGCCATCATGGATGAACTATCCATGTTCCTTCCTATAGCTAATCTTTCAACTTAAACACTTGTTTCCATTGCTTCTTGCCTTTTTTCTCTCTTACATTGTCAACTTTTTGTTTTCTTATTGGTTCATTCCCATCAGCATATAACATATACAATTATCCCATCTCAAACAAACAAAAGCCAAAAGATTCTCTTGGCCTTCCTTCTCTTATCAACTACTGTCCAATTTCTTTTCTTCTCTTTGTAAAAAAACTTCCCTGAGATGTAACCTACGCTTGTTCTTCCAATGATCTCCTAAGCCTTGTTCAGTCAGGCTTTTGTCACTGAAAAAAGTACTTTTATCTACTAAGAGTGCTTTTGTCAAGTCATCAATGACTTCTGTATTGTAAATCTTGATGGTTAAATATCAGTCCTTATTGTATTTTACCAATCTGCAGTGGCCAGCACAGTTGATCATTCTTTCCTCTTTGAAACATAGTTGGCTTCCATGATTACCATGTGGTTATCCTTGTTTTTCTCCTACCTCATGAGTCACTCTTTCATTCTTCTTTGCTGATTCCTTTTCTCCTCTCCTAGTCTCAAGTGATGACCTTAGGAGTGTTTGTGGTTCAAGAAAAGATGATAAGGTATAAGCTAATCATCTAGGAAAGCAGGAAAGTGAATGACTAGGAAGCGTGATATACTTGCCAGTAGCATTAAGGCTCTTGTGTGTGTGCGTGGAACTGAGAATTGAACTGGGAGGCACTCTACCACTGAACTACATCCCCAACCACCACAAAAGGCATTTTAAAGTAATACGAGTATATGCATTATTTTTTTCTAGGCCACATTCTGCTGAATGGATGCAAGCACAAAAGTCAGTATAGCTGGATGTGGTAGCACATGCTAGTCCTAGACTCAGGAGACTGAGGCAGGAGGATCACAAGTATGAGGCTAGCATGGGTAACTTAGTGAGTCCCTGTCTCCAAATATATGAAGAACTAGAGATGTAGCTCAATGGTAGAGCACCCCTGGGTTCAATCTCTAGTACCCCTCTAGACAAAATCAGTAGAATATTGGACTGAGGGTTTTGCCAGATAAATACAGTGAATCAAAAGAAGAGCAAGAAAATCTAGGATGAAGGGAGTGGTTATAATTCAGTTGTATGGAATTTAAACTTGGTATGGAGGAAGACTTTAAGGGGATGAGGGATGGTAAAAGTTGGTAACATCAATGAGTTGAAGGTCTTACTGCAAGTAAGGATTGAGGAGTCAGCATAATAAAATAAGTGAGTTGGAAATGTTAAGAGACAATGATTAGAAAGTGGAATATACCTGATGCTGAAAGCTGGAGTGAAAGACTAGGGCGAGGGAGTGAGGTACCTAGGGCATGAAACTTAAGAGGGCACTCTCAGGGTGAGCAAGTCTGGGCTTGGTACTTGTATCATACCGAAAGTGAGTGCCTCCTTATACTTTGCACCCTAGGTGCCTCACTTGCCTCACCTGACTCACCCTAGTCCCAGCCCTAAAAGTATGAAAGGGCTGCAATTATTAGTAATGACAGGGTCTAGGGAATGGCTGTAGGAGTGAATGACTGAGGTAATTGGCAGAGTGGAATGTAGGGAGCTAAGAGACTAAGGATATTAGGAGGATTGCCTGTCCGTGTATTGAAGTTGCCAAAAAAATAAGACAGGAGTAGTTTGTGTAGAAAATAACTCTGCAATAGTTAAGCCATCAAGAAATGAGAAGAAATAGCTTAGGATCTGATGGACCACAGTAATAATGAGGGATAGTGGGTACTATAGTCTGGTGACAAGAAATTCAAAGTCAGGGTTTTAGGAAAGAAAAAAAATGATTTCAAAATAATAGCAAAAAGTGAGAAGGATACCTAATCCATCTCCAGGCCTAGGGGTAGAAGGATAATGAGAGCAAAATCAGGCACCATTTGATAGGGCTCCAGTAGAAGCAGCTTCTTTGGTAGAAACCTAGATTTCTATTATAGCAATAATGTGGAGGGGACTTTCAGAGAAGAGTTTGCTTTTATAAGAGATTTTGCTGGTAATAGACTAAATTTCTGAGAGCATATTAGAAGGTGTGGGGTGTTGGGGGGAGATGAGAAAAAGAAGAGAGAATATATACAGCCTTTCAGGGATTAGCATGCTGAAAATGAAGGTGCTCTGACAGTCTGGGTTACTCCTAATAAAAAGAGATAAACAGCACGAAGAGTAGTTCAAGTGGATTCAAGGTAGTGTTAGCAAGGCTGTGTTTGTGGATAGACAGTTGTGATTTTCTGGGGCTAATATGAAACCATTGTTTTTGTCAGTGAGTTGTATTTTCATTTGACCTTCTTGCCGTAGCTCTTTTGAGAACACAAAATGAACAGGTTCAGATGTGTTTTCCCTTGCCCTTAATGGGCAATAATGCAGATAACTTGACTGTATTTTTAAAAATGTATTAGTGCATTATATTCATACAAAATATTGGGGTTCATTTTTACCTACTTATACAAGCATGAATTAATTTGCTCCAATTCAGTTCCTAGTACTTCCCATTTTTCTTCCCTCCTTCCTCACCTGTTTCCTTTCTTCTATTCTACACTCTTTCTTCTATTCATTTAGAGTTTTTTTAATCAATTAGTGTATTATAGATAATACACAAAGGTGAAATTCACTGTGGTATATTCGTATATGTACACAGGATAGTTGGGTCAGTTTCATACCCACCATTCCTCCTTTTTCCTGTCCCTCCTTCCTCTCTCTCAGTCCCCATCCTCTACTCCACTGATCTCTCTTCTATTTTCATGGGAACCCACACACACACACACACACACACACACACCAACTTTTTCCCCTTATCTTGGTTTGACTTCTGAATATGAGAGAAAACATTTGACCCTTGACTTTCTGGGTCTGGCTTATTTCACTTAACATGATGTCCTCCTCTTCCATTCATTTACCAGTAAATGCCTTAATTTCATTCTTATTTATGGCTGAGGTTAAAACTCTATTGCATATATATCCCATATTTTCTTAATCCATTTATCTGTTAATGAACATCTGAGCTAATTCCATAACTTGGCTATTGTGAATTGTACTACTATAAATATTGGTGATCTTAGATCTGATTTTAGATTTTTTGGCTGATTTTAGATCTTTTGGCTATATACCATGGAGTGGGATAGCTGGGTCATATGGTGGTTCCATTCCTCATTTTTTTGAGGGGTCTCCACCCTGCTTTCCAGAGCAGTTTTACTAATTTGTGGTTCCATCAACGCTGTATGAGTCTATCTTTCCCCCATATGCTTGCCAGTATTTGTTATTGTTTGTATTTTTGATAATTGCCATTCTATTTAGAATGAGATGAAATCTCAATGTAGTTTTGACTTACATTTCCCTGATTGCTAGAGATGTTGAAATTTTTTTCACATATCTGTTGGCCATTGTATTTCTTCTTTTGAGAAGTATCTGTTTATTTCTTTTACCCATTTATTAATTGAGTTCTTTCTTTATTTATTTACTTACTTATTTTTGGTGTTAAGTCTTTTGAGTTCTTTATATATTATGGATTAATCCTCTGTCTGAGGAGCAGGTGGCAAAGATCTTTTCCCATTCTATAGGCTTCCTCTTCCTGCTCTTAATTATTTACTTTGCTGGCAGAAGCATTTAATTTGATGCTGTCCCACTTATTGATTCTCGGTTACATTTCTTGCTCTTTAGAAGACTTGTTAAGGAAGTCAGTGCCTGTGCCAATATGGTGAAGTGTTGTGCCTACATTTTCTTCTAGAAGTTGTAGATTTACTGCTCTAATTCTTAGGTCTTTGATTCACTTTGAGTTGACTTTTGTGCAGGGTGAAAGATAAGAATATAGTTTCATTCTTCTACATATGGATATCCAGTTTTCCCAGCACCATTGGTTAAAAAGGCTCTTTTCTCCAATATATATTTTTTGGCACCTTTGTTGAGTATCAGATGACTCTATCTATATGGATTTGTCTCTGTGACTTTTATTCTGCTCCATTGGCCTTCATGTCTGCTTTGGTGCCACTACCAGGCAGTTTTTGTTACTAAAGCTCTGTAATATAATTTTAAATTAGGTATTGTGATATCTCTGGCATTGCTTTCTTTGTTTAGAATTGCTTTGGCTATTCTGGGTCTCTTATTCCTTCAAATGAATTTTAGAATTGTGTTTTTTTCTAGTTCTGAGAAGAATGTCATTGGTATAACACTCTTGGTAGCATAACCACTTTGACAATACTAATTTTGCCTATCCAAGAGCATGGGAGGTTCTTTCCATCTTCTAAAATCTTCAGTTTCTTTCCTCATTGTTCTATTGTTTTCATTGTAGAGGTCTTTTTCCTCCTCGGTTAGATTTATTCCAAAGTGGCTTTTTTTTGGTGTGTTATTGTGAATGGCATGGTTTTCCTAATTTTTTTAAAAAAAATTTAAATTAATTTTTATTTATATATGACAGTGGAATGCATTACAATTCTTATTACACATACAGAGCACAATTTTTCAAATCTCTGGTTGTATACAAAGTATATTCACACCAATTCATGTCTTCATACATGTACTTTGGATAATAATGTCCATCACATTCCACCATCATTTCTAACTCCATGCCCCCTCCCATCCCCTGCCACCCCTCTGCCCTAACTAGAGTTTGTTTCTTCCTTCCATGCTCCCTCTCCCTATCCCACTGTGAATCAGCCTCCTTTATGTCAAAGAAAACATTCAGCATAGTATAGAAAAGCTATTAATTTGTGTATGTTGATCTGATATCCTTATATCTTATATATTGATTAATTTGTTTATCAATTCCAGAAGTCATCTGGTAGAGTTTTTGAGATCTTCTAAATATCGGAACATGTCATCAACAAACAGAGATCATTTGAGCTCTTCTTTTCCTATTTGTATCTCTTTTATTTTTTTCTCTTACCTGATTTCTCTGGCTAGAGTTTTTCAAGAGCTATATTGAGTAAAAGAGGTGAGAGTAGACATCCTTGTTCCTCTTCTTAGAGGAAATGCTTTCAGTTTTTCTCTGTTGCTTTGATTTGTAATTTAACAAATTATGTCTGTTCTTTTTAGAATGGACAAGCCATTCCAGCAGGAAAAGCCCTGGAATATTTAGCTCAACATTCAGAAGACCCACAACAAGTTCTTACAGCTTTGAAGTAAGTAATCCATTCTATGGAGGGGAAAAGATTTCTTTTGCTCCTTTTGCCCTTGATCTATAATCTGACAAAGTAGTGCTGATGAACTCAGTGCCAACTCTTATATCTATTAACCCAGGTACTCAAAGTAAAAAAAACAACAACAACAATAACAAAAAAAAAAAATACAACTGAACTTGATCTTCCTTCTTCTCTTTTTCTAGTAAGGAAAATGGTTTGTCAAAAGGGAGTTTTTACATACAATAGTGAGGGGAAAAAAAGAGCAGGTTGGGACATGATAACTACTAATGTGACTGAGAAAATGCCAGTGTGAAAAATGGGAAACCAGAAGGATCCTAGAATGGTTTTTCTGTTGGCCAACTTCAGGCCACACTTCCAAAGGGAAAAGTAGTCACAGAAATAAAAGGGGAGTTGAGATACTTGCATGCCTTCAATCAGGTAAATATCTAAAATCATTCAGGACAGTGGTATTGTTTAGAGCATTTTCAGATTTGAAACAAACATCTGTTTTGTCAGTTTGTCATTGTGCTTCCAGTTCCCTTAAAAGAATAGTGAACATTTTTTATGTAGAACCTGAAGATCAGTTTTAGATTCCTTTATAAGATGAAAAATATAAAGACATGTACACCATACCTGCTGTTCTAGCAGATGTTGTTGGACAGTGATACAAACCTTGGAACCATTTAGTAACTTCTGATAAGCAAAATTTTTTATTTTAAAATTATCTTATTAAATTCCACTTTCAAAATTAAAAAATTGTTATATTTTCATTGCAACCATTAAAACAAATCAAAGATCTTTAAATACAATAAGCTTAATCTCCCCCTTTACTCTCTGTCTTCTCAATTCTGCCTCCTGGGGTAATCAGGGTTAATGACTTGGTATATATTTTTTAACATGTTTCCTAAGAATCCCTTTCTCTATTACTTTTTATGCAGATGTCTGTTTCGTCTTGTTCTTCCACAAGTTAATCAAACTCCAGGTTCTGAAAATAAGTAAGTTATTTCAATAGAAATGATGGATTCCATTAGAAATATTATAATAATTTTAAATACAAAACCTTACATTAAGTGATATGTAATGTAGTAGATAAGATTAATACAGGGCTAGTCTTCCTGGTTTCATATCCTGGCTCTGCTATTTATTAAATGTGGACCTTGGGAAAATTTCTTAACTTTTCTTGGCTTCAGTTTCTCCATCTATAAAATGGAAATAATAATAGAATATACCTCACAGGGCTGCTGTGGTTACTCAATAGTGAATTAACACATTTAAAAGGCAAAAGATGCCGAATTCCAGCTCCCGGAACTGAGCCCGCGGGGACTGCTTCTTGGAGCTTACACTTATAGGAGCTTACACCGAGCACAGAGCGGCCGAGTTCCGGCTCCCGGAACCGTCCCGGAACCGCCCTGGCTCAGGGCTGCGGAGCCCGCGGAGGCTGCTTCTTGGACCCTGCTACTATCAGAGCATACACCAAACACTAAGCGGCCGAATTCCGGCTCCCGGAACTGAGCCCGCGGGGGCTGCTTCTTGGAGCCTACACTTATAGGAGCTTACACCGAGCACGGAGCGGCCGAGTTCCGGCTCCCGGAACTTCCCTGGACCGGGGCTAGGAGCCCGCGGAAACTGTGTCTCGGTCCGGGTCCTGCTGAGGGCAGGTCAGGACTCACCCATTGCTTGGGTTGCCTGGCAAGGGGAACGAAATGCTGCCATTCGCATAGGATACCAACATGGCAGAGATCTGATGTCAGCAGAAAGCGGTGGAGGAGAGATCTTCATCAATACCAGCGGTGACATAAGCAGTTGGTCTTCTGGTAAGGGGGGTGAGGCTCAGTCACCCGAGTCTCCTCAATTTGTCCTCGAGCTGGAGGGAAGGAGCCGGGCCGCCGCCAGCCCCCGGAGCAGGCCCAGCGGCTCACCAGCGTGGTGACCGCGTGACCCCAATTGGAGAGGGGGCGGAGCGGAGCCGCCACCCACACCCGCCAGGTGGGCAGACCCACGACCCAGTAGTACATGGGCGTGGTAGGAGGGGCAGGGCAGAGCCGCCCTTCGCGCTTGCAAGGTAAACAGACCTGTGACAGCCTGGCGGGTCAGGCCCAGTGGCCTGCCAGTGTGGTACACACGTCACCCCAACTCGAGTAGGGGCAGAGCAGATCCTTATCCCACGCCCGGATCAGGCCCTGCCGGTGTGGTGGTCACGTGACCCCAATTGGAGTGGGGGTGGAGCGGAACCGCCACCCGTGCCCGCAGGGTGAGCAGACCAGTGATCAACCTGCAGATCAGGCCCAGGGGTCCGCAGGCGTGGTAGGAGGGGCAGGGCAGATCCGCCGCCAGCGCCTTCAAGGTAGGCAGACCTACAACAGACCGGCGGATCAGGCCCAGGAGCCTGCCGGCGGGGTACAAACACCACCCTAATTGGAGTAGGGACAGAGCAGAGTCGCCTCCCTTGCCAGGAACAGACCCAGCATCCTGCAGGCGGGGTAGTCACGACACACCAATTGGAGTAGGGGCAAAGCAGAGCCTCCACTCGTGCCCGAAAGGTGGGCAGATCTGCGACCGACCAGCAGGACAGGCCCAGTGGCCTGCTGGTACGACAGACACGACACCCCAATTGGAGTAGGGGCAGAACAGAGCCGCCACCAGCTCCCAGAACAGGCCCAGTGACCTGCCGGCGTGGTAGCCACGACACCCCAATTGGAATAAGGAGAGAGCAGAGCCGCCGCCCGCACCTGCAGGAAAGATACGCAAGCAGTATGAAAAGACAAGGAAAGAAAGGACCACAAGCAATGCAGGTCAACGCAACTTTAGAAGAGGTAACAGCTGCAGCAGATGGAATGTCAGATAAAGAATTCAGGATATACATGCTTCAGATGATCTGGAGTATCAAGGAAGACATTAAACAGCAAAATCAGACAATGAAAGATCACTTCGACAACGAATTACGCAAACAAATCCAGGAAGCAAAGGATCAACTATACAGGGAGATAGAGGTTATAAAAAACAAGCAATCAGAAATCCTAGAAATGCAGGAAGCAATAAACCAACTTAAAAACTCAATGGAGAATACTACCAACAGAGTAGAACACTTAGAAGATAGAACATCAGACAATGAAGACAAAGTATTTCAACTGGAAAAGAACATAGACAGCTCAGCAAGACTGTTAAGAAACCATGAGCAGAACATCCAAGAAATATGGGATAACATTAAGAGACCAAACTTAAGAGTCATTGGGATACAGGAAGGTACAGAGCTCCAAACCAAAGGAATGAGCAGTCTATTCCATGAAATAATACAAGAAAACTTCCCAGACTTGAAGAATGAGACAGAATCCCAAATCCTAGAAGCCTACAGGACGCCGAATGTGCAAAATCATAAGAGATCCACACCTAGACACATTATAATGAAGATGCCCAACATACAGAATAAGGAGAGAATTTTAAAAGCTACAAGAGAAAGGAAGCAGATTACATTTAGGGGCAAGCCAATCAGGATAACAGCTGATCTTTCAACACAGACTCTGAAAGCTAGAAGATCCTGGAATAACATATTTCAAACACTGAAAGATAATGGGTTCCAACCAAGAATTGTGTATCCAGCAAAATTAAGCTTCAGGATGGAGAATGAAATTAAAACCTTCCACGATAAACAAAAGTTTAAAGAATTCGCAGCTAGAAAACCATCTCTTCAAAACATCCTAGCCAAAATATTACAGGAAGAGGAAATGGAAAATAACAATGAAAACCAACAGTGGGAGGTAGGACAGTAAAGGGGGGGGGGAAACAATCAAAGAGGAAAACAAACAATGTTTAGTAACAGAAATAAACAAATATGGCTGGAAGAACAACCCATATCTCAATAATAACCCTAAATGTTAATGGCTTAAACTCACCAATTAAGAGACACAGGCTAGTAGAATGGATCACAAAACAAGACCCAACAATATGCTGCCTACAGGAGACGCATTTGATAGGAAAAGACATACATAGGCTGAAGGTGAAAGGTTGGGAAAAATCATATCACTCATATGGACTTCGGAAACAAGCAGGCGTGTCCATACTCATATCAAATAAAATAGATTTCAAGCCAAAGTTAATCAAAAGAGATAAAGAGGGACACTACATACTGCTTAAGGGAACCATACACCAACAAGACATAACAATCATAAATATTTATGCCCCAAACAATGGTGCAGCTATGTTCGTCAAACAAACTCTTCTCAAGTTCAAGAGTCTAATAGACCACCACACCATAATCATGGGAGACTTCAACACACCTCTCTCGCCACTGGACAGATCTTCCAAACAAAAGTTGAATAAGGAAACTATAGAACTCAATAACACTATTAATAACCTAGACCTAATTGACATATATAGAGTATACCACCCAACATCAAGCAGTTACACTTTTTTCTCAGCAGCACATGGATCCTTCTCAAAAATAGATCATATATTATGTCACAGGGCAACTCTTAGACAATATAAAGGAGTAGAGATATTACCATGCATCTTATCTGATCATAATGGAATGAAACTGAAAATCAACGATAAAAGAAGGAAGGAAAAAGCATACATCAATTGGAGAATGAACAATAGGTTACTGAATGATCAATGGGTTATAGAAGACATCAAGGAGGAAATTAAAAAATTCTTAGAGATAAATGAAAACACAGACACAACATATCGGAATCTATGGGACACATTGAAAGCAGTTCTAAGAGGAAAATTCATTGCTTGGAGTTCATTCCTTAAAAAAAGAAAAAAACAACAAATAAATGATCTCATACTTCATCTCAAAATCCTTGAAAAAGAAGAGCAAAACAACAGCAAAAGAAGTAGAAGGCAAGAAATAATTAAAATCAGAGCTGAAATTAATGAAATCGAAACAAAAGAAACAATTGAAAAAATTGACAAAACTAAAAGTTGGTTCTTTGAAAAAATAAACAAAATCGACAGACCCTTAGCGATGCTAGTGAAGAGAAGAAGAGAGAGAACTCAAATTACTAGCATACGGGATGAAAAAGGCAATATCACAACAGACACTTCAGAAATACAGAAGATAATCAAAAACTATTTTGAATCCTTATACTCCAATAAATTAGAAGATAGTGAAGGCATAGATAAATTTCTTAAGTCATATGATCTGCCCAGATTGAGTCAGGAGGATATAGAAAACCTAAACAGACCAATATCAATTGAGGAGATAGAAGAAACCATCAAAAGACTACCAACTAAGAAAAGCCCAGGTCCCGATGGGTATACAGCAGAATTTTACAAAACCTTTAAAGAAGAACTAATACCAATACTTTTCAAGCTACTTCAGGAAATAGAAAAGGAGGGAGAACTTCCAAATTCATTCTATGAGGCCAACATCACCCTGATACCTAAACCAGACAAAGACACTTCAAAGAAAGAAAACTACAGACCAATATCTCTAATGAACCTAGATGCAAAAATCCTCAATAAAATTCTGGCGAATCGGATACAAAAACATATAAAAAAAATTGTACACCATGATCAAGTAGGATTCATCCCTGGGATGCAAGGCTGGTTCAATATACGGAAATCAATAAATGTTATTCACCACATCAATAGACTTAAAAATAAGAACCATATGATCATCTCGATAGATGCAGAAAAAGCATTTGACAAAGTACAGCATCCCTTTATGTTAAAAACTCTAGAAAAACTAGGGATAACAGGAACATACCTCAATATTGTAAAAGCAATCTATGCTAAGCCTCAGGCTAGCATTATTCTGAATGGAGAAAAACTGAAGGCATTCCCTCTAAAATCTGGAACAAGACAGGGATGCCCTCTCTCTCCACTTCTCTTCAACATAGTTCTCGAAACACTGGCCAGAGCAATTAGACAGACGAAAGAAATTAAAGGCATAAAAATAGGAAAAGAAGAAATTAAATTATCACTATTTGCAGATGATATGATTCTATATCTAGCAGACCCAAAAGGCTCTACAAAGAAACTATTAGAGCTAATA